GGTTTGGAAATCATGGGTCCAAGGGGAGGCCTTGCACTGACAGCACGGCTGCTGACGCCTGGCCCTTGCTGTGGCTACCCCAGACCTGTTCCAGGACCTCAGGCCTGGGGCCGCTCCTGCAGCAGGGAGCTGGGCCATTGGGGGGGGGTGCTCCTCGGCTGGGCCCCCCTCCAGCCCTCCACTGCTCTGGGTCCCTTGTCCTGTCCCCAAGTCCTTCCTTTCCTCCTCCTCTCCCTTCCCAGGTCTCCAGAGCCTTCTTAGGGCCCAAAGTTTCCCAGCCCCAGGAGGGGCCAATCCAGCTACATTCCTGGAAAGGACTCAAGACCCCAGGTTGATTCCATTTGCCCCCTTGATGCCAGGCCAGAGCACCGCTCTCATTTTCCCCACACAGAGCAAAGCAGGGAGACGGGCTGGTTTCAGCAGGAGGGGCTGAAGGCACCACGCTTCCCTCCCTCTTCCTGCCAGCACTGAGGGTGAAGCTTTGGGAAGCAGAGGGGCAGAGCCCAGGGCCCGGCTTTAAGGGAAGGTCACCCTTCCCACGAGGCCTGGGCCTGGTATACTGGGCAGAGGGCAGAGTCTGCATGGGGAGGTGGGGGAAGCCCTCTGAAGGCAGGTAACTGTTTTTTCTTGGAAGCCCCGCCAAAATCCCCCTCAGTGTCACTACGGGAGCAGGACCCGGACCAGGAACCGCACCCCAGCAAGAAGGTGAGTGTTGTGTGGGAGGTCCCTAGAGCCCCAGCTGAACTTCACCTTTGGAGCACAGGTCTGTCCGCCTGGGCCAGCTCAGTGGGGAAGCAGCAGTTCGCCCAGCATGACCATTGGTGACGGAGGCTGGCCTCTGCCTGTCTGGCTGTGTCATCTTCAACGTCCAGGTCCCCTGTCCTGGGCTTTCTGCCCACACATCCCTCTGCCAAATGGGCCCCATGAGAAACGTACGTTCACAGCCAGCCTGCAGGCTCCCACCAGAACCCCGCACACTACTGGCTGGTTACCCACCCCCCTAATACTAGAGGCACTAGGGCCACTGAGCCCCACCCCCATGGATGGTTGTTCCACAGTCGTGTTACTAGTGTCCCGAGGGCAGAGCTGCCTTCAGCTTAGCTTCCATAGCGGCAGCCCCAGGAGAGCCATCTGGGACACACCCAGCCATCCTGGAACCGGTGGGCAGGCTCATTAAGACCCGGGTCCACATGTCACCCACACCCGCTGTGCCGCTGTGACCTTGAGCCCACTACCTAACCTCTTCGGGCCTTAGATTCATCATCAGTAAAAGATAAAGTGGGAGTAATGCTAATATCTACCTTAAAGGATTGTTATGAGAATGAATTTAGATAAAGCCCTTCAAGTGAGTAGCAGAGTGACCATACAAAAGGGAAAAAAGATAGTTTGCCCCTGTTGTACTCTGGCTTGTGGAACAGAGCACAAGCAAGGGTGCAAAGAAAAACTCACGGCCCCTGGTGTCCGAAGGGGGGGTCTGTGTCAGGAGGTGACTGCTGGCCTGCCCGCCTGGGTCAGCCCACGAGTGGGGGGCTACTGGGAGCCGCCATTGTGAGCTTTGGCTCATCCAAGATGACAGAACACACAGAAAGCCAGATGATAATCTTACAAGAGTTCGTTTTCTGACTGGTGCTTTATTTTTTTTCTCCCGAAAATTCTAGAATGTTCCCTATGGATGAAGCTCTTTCTATCTATGGACTAGAATTGCAGATTCCTGGGTCTAGAGGCTTAAGGCTTTAAGAGTAATTAAGTGCTGCCTCCGATGCTCCCCCAGCTGCCATCTCAGAGGCTAGTGGCCCTGAGAAGGGATGTGAGTATCTCGGGCTTCGTGGGCTGCAGGCTGCTAGGTCACCGCCTTGCTCACCCTGGTGCCCGGCACAGTACTGGTCCCCGGCAGATCCACAATAGATACTGGGCGAATGAATGAACTTGGGCAAGCCTGTTTAACTGAACTTGACTCCTACGAACACACACACAGGAGAATGTCTACTCTTCCTAAGCTACTGCGGAGAGCAAACAGAACCATGTAGAGTCGAGTCGGAGTCACACAGGCAGGGTGGAACCCTAGCTCTGCCCGTTTTTAGCTATGTGACATCAGGCAACTTCTTTGAGCCTTAGTTTCTTCATCTGTAAAATGGGAGTGATAATGAAACCCTCCTCACAGCAGGGATGGGAGCTCCATGCTTGACACATTGTCAAATACATTATTAACATGATACATTGTTTGTGTCCTGCTTACAAAGGTAGGTTGGAAACTACAAAATGCGTTGCAAATATGAATGACTATTTTTCTGTCCCGGGATCTCATTTCGGAGAACCAGATATATTTGACTGGGGAAAAGTTCATGCATTAAACCAAAAGAACAATAATCATAATAATCGTAACCATGTTATTACCTATTATACGTAGGGCTGCTTTACACACATCACTTCCTGGGAGCTCTGGAGTCGATTACTTCCCATTTTATAGATGAGGAAACTGAGGCATAGAGAGGTTGAGTTAATTCCCCAGCATCACAGAGCTAGGAAGCATGGAGGCTAAGATTTCAAAGACCAGGGTCCCAGGTAATCTTTTGTGAACCTGGGACCTTTGGAGATTTGACCCGAGCATCCTGGGCAGGCCTTGTCAGAGGAGCTCTCCCTGCCTGATAGTGGGGGTAGGACTTTGGAGAAGCAGATCCTTCCTCCATTCTCCAAGCTCCAGACTCAGAATTCTGATCTGGCCGCACCTTTCCCCTGGAGCACTATACCTCATATGCTCTTATGTAAGTCCCCATTTCCACTCTCCCATCCCCACGCTTTATATGAGACAGCTCTGGGGGACAGCAGACACTGGGGGACCAGTTGTTGTCCTCCTTGAGGCATGAGCCTGTCTTTGAGTATGTCTGCATACATGAACATACCCTTATACACGTGTGCTCATGTATGTGTATTTACACTCTTGAGTGCACTAGTCATGGGATGGGGGACACAGACGTGTCTTCATTGGCCTTTTTTTCTTTACGATGAGATAAAGGCTTTTCCTGCTAAGGCTTTCCATTTTCAGCAAATTCAGGCACCTTAACTATTGAAAGCCCTCCTCTTGCCCCGGTCACAGTTAGCAGCCGATCCATGTTATTAGAGGAAAGTTCTCGAAGTGTTGGCTCTAATTTGGTCAGCCTGGAAAGTGTCTAAGCCTCTGTTCCTCCTGAAACTCTCGCTTGTCAGTTGCTTTGGGGCTTTAGGGGAACCCCTGTGGCTGGTGGAGTTGTGTCCTGCGGGCATTTTGATGGCCTGTGGGCATTGGGTCGGCCCAGGCTCCAGACCCCTGGGCTACAAAAAGGCCAGATCTGGGCTGCCCAGATCATTAACGGCTGATCTCCCCAGAAGGCGCTGGATCACCTGCCTGTCCAAGCCATCAGAAGAATGTTCTCCACATGATGGGTTTTGCCTCATGGACACTTCACAGGTAGTCTTTGGCCCCTTTACTGGCCTGACCTGTCAAACTGGAGGAACTCTCCCAGGTCTGAGATTAAGCTGGGGGGTGGTGGGTGGGTAGGTAGGGGACATGTCTCAGTGATGAGGATTCTGATGGCCCAGGAGGGCTCAGGAGCCAGCAAGACTCTGGATTCTTCATGGTCAGAGACCATCGATGCTTTTATTGAGCTACTGCTCCCTCTCCCAGGGTGGAACACAGTGCTACAAATAGGGGAATGTGCTCCCTTTGCTTCTCCTCTCAAAGCCAAGAAAGGCTTCAGCCATCTTCCTTCCCATTCACCTTTACTTTCGTCAGTGGCAAAAAAGAGGTTAGGGAGAAATCCATTACAGCCCCCTCCCCCACCCCCCAATCTTCCAAACACCAAGGTGCCTGCCTGGGTGGGGTTAGGACCACCAGATCTATCCATAGGCTACAAAGCCCAGCTTTCTTTCCTCCTCTGTGCCTCCCCTCCACCAACCTGTCTTAGCCCTCCCCCGACCAGACAGCAGAGCAGCCCACTCCCCCTTGGCCAGTGAGTGCCAAGGTTCTTAGCCATTAACACTGCTCTAAGTTAATTTGGCATGTGCAAGAGGGGGCAGGGTTCTGGGCGTCAGGGGGCATCTCATACTGTGAGATTCAAAATTCCCTCAACACAGCTGCATTTGGAGGCCATTTTCTGCATTTCAGACATCCTGGGTTCTTTGCACCACAAAGCCCTCTCCCAAACTTGCTTTCCCCCGCTCCCCATGCAGCAAGGACATATTTTCAGCGCGTACTACTACTCATCCACACTCTACAAGGGTGGGGTCCGAACCAGCCCTTAATAGAGGCTTTTGGCTCTGCAATCTAACTAGATCTAGCCAACCCCCTCCATTAAATTTTACTCGTTCACGGTTCTGATGTATTAATTTTGCTCTTCGTTCCTTTTGCACTTAAACTGACTTTTTTCTAATCTCGCGGAATAGATTGACATTTCCCAAAGATTTTAATACTCTCACCGGCGGTCTGGCCACCCTGAAGGACCAGCCCTTTCCCCTCCAGAGGTGCAGCCTTCCTGGCCTCCTCGGAGTGGGGTCTCAGGAGGCCCGGACCCTCCCCCCCAACAGCTCCGCTGGGCAGTCAGGCGGCCATGCAGCCCAGGGAGCGCACACCGCCTTCCGTGCCCTGCCCCAGGCAACACACATCCCGACACACAGGCACACACACCCCGCGGAGGTGCGGGTGGGAAGCCGCGGGAAGCCCGACGGCTGCAGTTTTATTACAAGGTTTCTTTTCGAAAGCAGAATCAGGCCGACAAGCGCAGCGACTCGGATTCTCCCACAACTTCCCCCACCCCGCCCACCCACAAACACACAAAACTCCCACGCCGGTGACCTCGGGCCTGGTTGGCCTCGCACGACCCCTCCCGCCCCGCCACGCCGAGGCGCCCACAGGACCAGCCGGGTGTGGAAGTCCCTTCCCGCTCCGCCACCTCGAGTCCCGCGGTGTCCCGGTCCCGGGGGGCCCCGGGGACCCGTCACTGTCCCTCGAGCGGCCAGCCCGGCGGCGGCGGCGGCGGCAGAGCCCGTGCAGGGCACGAGGGTCGAGGTCTCCCTTCTCGTCTGCTGGAGGGCCGGGCTGGCGATCGCGGGCCGGGGCGGCCTCAGTACAGCCCCAGGATGGCGGCGCCCACGTCCTTGGAGGGCCGGCGCTCCTGCATCAGAAAGTTGATCATGCTCTCGGACTTGATGAGCAGGTTGCAGCCCAGGAAGAACACGCCGAAGACCACGGTGAGCGACAGCACGCAGAGCACAGCGATCTGCGCCACGCGCGTCACCCACAGGCTGCGCTCATCGGGCGCCAGCCCCGCGGGGACCCCGTCGCTGGCGGCCAGCGGCGCGCCCCCGGCGCAGCAGCCCAGCCACGTGCCCAGCCCGTGGCTGCGGTTCCCCAAGGCGGCCCCGCCGCCGCCGCCCAAGCCGCCCTCTGCCTCCAGGCCGCTGTGGTTCAGGAAGGTCGCGTTCATCGCCGCTCAGCGTCCGGGGTCTCCGCGCGCGGGCCGGGGCGCACGGGGAGGCCGGCCGGCGCCCGCCCTCCGGGAGACGCTGCGGTCCGGCTGCGAGCGGGGAGAGGGGAAGGCGGGAGGGCGCCCGCGCGCCGGCACCCCTCGGGCCGCCTGCCCCGGGCACCGGGCAGGAAGCGGCGGCCCGGAGGAGCGAGCAACAGGCGGCGCGGGAGCTGGAGCCGGAGAGCCGATCGCTCGTCTCGGTCGCCTGCTGTGCTGCGCGCCCGCCCCGCCGCCCCTCCCCTAGCAACGGCCCCGCCCCCGCCATCCCCCTCCCCTGCTGAGCCCCGGGGGCGGCAGGCGCAGCGCCCCCCGAGTACCGAGGCTGGAAGGCACTGGAGGTGCGGAAGCCCCGCCCTCGGGCAGGCGGAGGTCGAGCCCCCGGGGGCAGCGGCTGGCTGTTTTGGGGTGGAAGATCTCCCCGAGGCGCCCATTCCGGGATTCCGGGCTCCTGGCAGTTAAGTTCTTCCTGAAGTCTGCCCTAAATCTCTTCTCCGCTCTCCGGCTCCTAGTAACTCTTCCTGGACATCCGAGGAGTAAATGTGACCCCCCCCCCCCCCGACATTAGCTTCCCTCGCCTCTCCTCCACCGCCGCGGTGGCGCCGGGTGCCCAGCGGTCCCGCACGCCGCTCCCCGCTCCTCCCCGCTGTCCCCACGCTGCAGGCTGTGGCGGCGGGTGGTGCAGCCTCCTTCCCACCCTGCCCCCACCCTGCCTCACTTGATCCGTTTATTTTAATTTAAGAAGTTTATTGCGGGTTTTTTCCATTCCTTTTTACAGAAAAACTCGCATCATTGTAAACTAGTTAGAAAGTACGGATTAGCATAATGAAAAAAATCTAAAATCTCATAATCCTACCCCCCAGAGTGTCGACATTACCACCCTGGTACAAAGTCTTCTGGCCTCTTTCCTTTGTGTGTCCCAATACATACGTATAGTCAGATAAAGATGCACTGTTCATGCCTGTGGTTTTGCATCTACGGTTTTGCAACATTTTGTCATTTGTGTATCTTTTGGTAGTGATAAATATTCTACAGCAGCGGTTCTGAATATCCTGGAGGACTTGTTAAGACCCAGATAACTGGGCCCAAACCAGAGTTTCTGAAGCGGTAGGCTGGGAGTGGAGACCCCCGGATGTGTATTGCTAACAAACTCCCAGATGACGCTCCTTCCTCCTGGTCGTGCTTTGGGAACTACTGATCTGTAATACCAGCTAAAGGGAAGGCATGGTGTTTCAAGGTGGCGACTACTACAATTTATTTAACCAAGGTGTTTGTTTTTGGATATTGTAGTTGTCCCCCTTTTTTGCGTGGGAAGCAATATTACCACAAAGAGCCTGTAAGAAGTCTGTGCAGACTTTTCCATGGTCTCATTTTTTCCTTTATTTTTATTTTGAAAAATGGATCTGCAGAATCAAAAGATTGCATCCTACCAAATGGATCTGCAGAAATACACCAGTTTAGGGGGTATCTGGGGGGCTCAGTTGGTTGAGCATGAGACTCTCGATTTTGGCTCATGTCATGATCTGGGGGGGGCGCATGGGAACAGGGGTGTCCTGGGACCCAACCCTGCACTGGGCTCCCTGCTCAGCTGGGGTTGCCCTTGAGTCCCCCCACCCCCAGGAGGGTATGTGTTCTCTCTCCTAAAATATATATAAATAAATCTTTTAAAAATTAATTAGAAATACACCAATTTACACTCCAGCCCTGTGGGGAAGGGGGGGCATTGCCCCCAATCCTGGTTATTGTCATTATTTTAAAAATCTGCCTGAGTTTATGGGACATGGGATGGTTTCTCACCCTGATGTAATTTGCATTGTTTGAGCTGTGGAGAAGGAGGGAAAGCAGTTAGGACTCTTTTCCATAATCCAGGCAGAAGATGCTGCAGGAGGCTTGGACACTGCTGGTGGTGGTAGAGGGAGAGACCCAGGGATGGAGAGGGCTCGGCAAGTGGGAGTAAGGGGACTCAGGACACCTCGACATGAAACATCTCAGGGCCACCGCCCCACCATTAGAACTAATCCACGTGTGTGTGCCTCCTGGGAAGCTGTTATATTTCTCATTTTAGAGAGGAAGAAACACACACACACACACAGAGGCAGGAGAGATTGGGGGAAGAAGACCCAGCTCAGCCTCCTGGGTCCTGGGAGGGCCGCCTGGCACAAGGGTCTCCCTGCCCTGACCACGACTGAGAGCCTGGAGAGAACAGGGAGACAGCAGGTTTCTGGCCAGATATTTTGTCCTCTGCTTTTTCTTTCTTTTTTTTTAACGATTTTATTTATTTCTTTGACAGAGAGAGAGATAGCACAAGTATGCAGAGCAGCAGACAGAGGGAGAGGGAGAAGCAGGCTCCCCACTGAGCAGGGAGCCCAATGTGGGGCTCAATCCCAGGACCCTGGGATCATGACCTGAGCCAAAGGCAGCCGCTTAACCAACTGATCCACCCAGGCACCCATTGTCCTCTGCTTTTGACCAGTAGACTTCTTTAGAGAAATGCTTGGTTCTGTCCTTTGTGCATCGTCCTTTCCTGAGACCAACCCCTGAGCTTTCATACGGCCAGGACATGGCTCTTGACTCCATGCAGCTGAGGTTAGACTGTGGGCGCAGAGAAAGCAGTGGGGACCAGAGAGAGAGGCCTGCCTACACCAGCAAGAGGCTGTGAGGAGACTGATGGCTGGCCCTTCCTTTATTAAGCACTTACTGTATGCTCAGGGCATTAAATATATTTGTACCTCACTGAGTTCTTACACCAGCCCTTGGGTTTCTCTGGATTGTCCTCTTGACATGAAGAAATAGAGGCTCAGAGTGGCTAATTGTCTTACTCAAGATCACACAGCTAGCTAAGCATCAGTGGCAGAATTCGAGCCCAGATCTTTCTTGTTCCAAAGCTACGTTCTTAATTATTCCTCCCCTCCCACTTCCATCATCCTTGAGCTGGTTTCTATGGCTAACCCCGGGGGAAGAGGAAGATATTGTCTTTGACTTGGGTCGGGAAGGCAGAAAGAGAACACGGGCTTGTAGAAATAAACAAAGACCACCCAGATGAGAAGATACAAAGGCTGTTTTCGGAGCCTGTGACCCCAAGGGAGTCAGCCACCATCACTTGAGTTCAGCAGAGAATTGAAGGCCGGGCAGAGGAATAGGAGAGCTTTATGGTGGGACAAAGGGAAGGCTTCTGGTTCTGATCAGAGGCCTCAGCGTGGGGAAGCTGTAGGTGTGCTAACTAGAAGGGGAGTGCCCTATGAGATTGGTTAGGGGAGCATACTGTACTTTTCCAGTTTGTCCTACATTGGACATGGGGGCAAAATTGGGGCACCTGCAGCTAGGGACCCAGTCTTGGCTGTGTTTGGGTTGAGAGCTAGAGGGGTTGTTGAGTGGTGCTGAGACATGGGTTCGCCTCCTTGGCTGTTGCTGCAGGGAGTGGGTCGGAGTCCTGTTTTTATAGGTGGCGCGGCAGTTGTCTGTGGGTATAGTGGGTCTCTGAGACCGCTCTCCAGAGTTCTGGAGCAGGGCCCTTCCTGGCTCGGACCTGGACCCAGACTTCCTATCTCATGCTCCTTCCCTCTGCTTCTCCCTTCTGCCCTCTCTGGAGCCACTGTCCCAGTAAGTCTGGTGGCTATTTCATGTGCATCAACTCTTAAATATTTTTTTAAGATTTTATTTATTTGAGACAGAGACAAAGAGCACGAGTTGGGGGGAGGGGGAGAGGGAGAAGCAGACTCCCTGCTGAGCAGGGAGCCCAGTGCAGGGCTCCATCTCCTGAGAGCTTTCCTGGGGGCGGAGGACTGGCTCCTGAGACGGCTCCCTGACACCACTCTTACTCCAGGCCTCAGTTCCCGCCCCTGTGGACCTTTCCACGGGGCTGACCTGGCAGCTGGCTTGCCTCAGAGCCACTCTCAAAGAAGAGCTACTGGTGGGAGGGAGAGGTGCAGAAGAGTGAGGCTGCAGCCTACAATGTGTTGGCTCTCTTAATTAGTTAAGCTTCACGGCCACCTTAGGGAGAGAAACAATTAGCCCCATTTGACAGATGGGAAAATAGAGGTTCAGGAAGGCAATTTTGCCAGAGGACACAGAGCTGGTGACTGACACAGCCAGGATGTAAGCCCTTTGCTACCTTAAAACCGGACCCCGGCTCTTTCCAGCACTTGGTGTATGGACGGGTTGGGGGGGGGTCTTCATTGTTAGGGAAAGACACCCCCCTCCCTACCCCCTGGAGCTTGGGGGGAGGCCTCAAGAGCCTAAGAGACTGTCTGTCAACTGGGACTGCCTTCTCTGCTCTGGAGACAGGGAAGCCACTGCCTCTAGGCCCAGCTGCCGCCCACACAGGACTATTTTTACCCTCCACCTCAGTGACAAGTCTGCATCTCCCAGCTCTGGAAAGGCCATCTGGGCAGTCTGGCTGTCCCAGGAAGAGCTTCTACCCCGAGGCCACCGTGTATGCCCTGCTGTCCCCTGCAGCTGTTTCCAGATGAACCTTTAGCCTTCTGGCAGGTCATGGCCACCCAGGGTCAGTAAGATGCCTCCCTCTCCTAGACTCGGGGATCAGTAAAACCTCCTTAATGAATACCACTTACTGGACGGACCTTTCTGGACTAAAACGTTTAAATCTGCAGATATTTTAAATTGCTCACATTTCAAACAACATTAAAAAGTGCTCTATGCCTGAGCCATTTTTTTTTAAGATTTCACTTATTTGAGAGAGAGAGAGACTGACTATGAGCTAGAGCAGGGGGAGGGGAGGAGAGGGAGAAGCAGACTCCCTGCTGAGCAAGAAGCCTGTCGTGGGGCTTATCCCAGGACCCCTGAGATCATGACCTGAGGGCAGATTCCCAACCGACTGAGCCACCCAGGCACCCCCTGCATGAGTCATTTTAATGATAAGAATGATTTTATTTGCATCTTCAAACTACACACACACAGGGACAAAAAATGTAAATAAATGACCATTGTGTAACGTACTTCAGGGGAAGTCTAAGAACCTTCGGAGGTAATTCATTTTCTGAAGCGGTCTCGAACAACCCCCTAGGATTCTGTTTACACTATTCATTCATTTGGCAAACTCTCCCAGGAGCGGGCAAAGGTTGCCTTCTGCCAGGTTCCTGTCCAGATGATCTCATGTTTCATGCTGGCAGAGGGCAAGTTCGTAATGTTTTACTGCATCTCTCACAGAATTAAAATAAACACAGTTGCCCGGTTCAGCCTTTGTCCCCCACACCAGGTGGAG